TCTCTACACCAATCCAAGCTAATTGAAGCTGCACCACTGCAATACTTCCAACTTTTAACACGTTGACGACCGCGCTATTTTTCGCTGTCTGGCGTGTGGGACCGCGCGCATTATTTTGACCGCGCGAGTGTGACATGACATCATGTCACACGGTCCCACGAGAACTCCTTTTTCTCAGGAAGTGTGTATTTGTTATCTTTCTTGTGTGGTAGGTCTCCGATTATGCGATTTTGGCCATTTTAGCGATTCCTGTGATTTGATCATTATTCAAACATTTTTAGAAAAACTCGATAGCCCATCAACCGAAGCTTCTTTCCAGGGACCACGCCTTTTGTAACAATGCCTAAGTATGGCGCATACATCACGTAAATAAGTTACCTAAAATGTTTGAAAACCAGCTTAAAAAAGACTGTGACATGACATCATGTCACACGGTCCCACGTGGCCGAAAGAGTGTGGTATGACATCATACCACACGGTCGTCAACGTGTTAAAGAAGGTCGATCCTGGACATCTCATAGTTTGAACTGAGATGTCGGCTGGCAGAGGTTCACGAAAAGTATCAACGTCCATTAGCCACTCCGGGGATAAGGGACGAGGGTGAGGGAGGGGAAAATTAGGGCTCTTCTGTGGGAAAGATTAAAAGTGTTCGATTACTTTGTCGAGCACTCTTCCTGTCTTATATCTCTGTGCCAGTGGATCGTCGTTCCCAGATCTCAACGCGGTGAACTATTATGTAAGTTTTTGAAGAGTGGTGTTGTTGATTTTTTTGGAACTATAGAGCAAAATAAAATTAAGCCAAGGAATTGGAACTGTGTAGAGTGGCAGGATCCACGGCAAAGGAAATTGAAAGGGAATCAACTACGCGGAAAGAAGCCACACAACTTGCCTCAAGTCATGAACTTCCTCCAAAAAAATGTGCTACTAGAAGTTATAAATAGATCCCATACAAGTTCTTAACCAGTTAGTTAAGCAAGCAGCACAGTAAAAAGTTCTAGAATTCGGTCGAGTAGAGAGCATTAGAATGAAATATATTCAGTTAGGTTATGAACATAAACTCAAGTTCTGCCTCTCAACGAATATGCAAAACTATCTCATCGAATAGCCTTCAGGATATTTCGTGGGAAATGTTCAAGATTATATTTACATAATTTTCGTTTGTTTTGGTTCCTAGCTCCGCTGCTATTTCGCCGTAGCGGCCACAATGATGAAGATTTGCTTACAAAAATTCATCCCAATGGCTCCCGATCCCAGCATCTAAAAAGGTTTGCCATCCTTTAAACCTCAAAAATTCGAATACATATGAATCCGGGGCAAGCTATATTGGATAAAAGATGAAAGGAGGAAAACACTTAATCATTTCTCCTTCGGGATGCGCGTAGCCTTCGAGGTACATACTTACAGTAGCGGTTAAATGATCGCCGGAACGGTTTTTCTCAGCATTTTTGCCAGAAAAAAATTAATGGTGACCTCGAAATTTTTTCTTTTGAATATCCTGATTCTTCAAGACTTGAAAAAACTAGAAAACATAGTATATCAATCTTTGGAGGACGTTGCTCAAGCGAGAAAAAATAATGCACTGAAAATCGTTCCGGCGAACACTTTTGACCGCTACTGTATATATCGGCTTCAGAAAGGCAGAAGTGCGTCCAGTGCAGACCACACACCACAAGTGACGACGGCCTCCACAAAATGTAAATGTTTCTGCCAATGAAATGATTAGCCTGTTGCAGTTGTATTCTATCAGTTGTCACTAATTACAACTCTCATTTACCAGCTATCAGCTATCACTATGAGTCACTTGTTACCAGAATTACTCGTCATTTGTGTTGTGTGTTCTGAATACGACGCACTTCTTGTCCTCTGTAGTAGAGATTACATGCCATTTGAATGTGATATGGAATATAGTTCAACGATTTGCGGAAGTCAGCCAATGCTCCGAGGCAGTCTACTACATACAATTAGCCAGCATTGGGAAGGAAGGATTTGTTATCCTGAAGGGGATTCGGTTCGGTGTTTGACCCTTACGTCACACTCTGCCTAAATTAAATTATTGTATATTGACTAGTATATAATTCGTTTGGTAATTCTATGCGCTTCTGACGTAGATCTTCAATTGATTACCAACATTGCCTTAGACTGGAGTGAGTAAGCAATGACCACCGTAAGGAAAGGGATGTAAGCGTTCAAAAAATCCATAAAAATATAGAAATCAGCAGATTCGAAGAGTCTAGTTCTGGCGAATCCTGGTAGTTTTGTGCTAAATCGCCACTTCTGGCTAGTGAAGTGGGCTAGTATCAGCTTTTACGAGAAGGCTCAACAACCCTTTCTTATCATAAACTCACAGAAAGTCTTAAAGAGATGGAGGAAGGAAAACGGAGCAGCGTAATAGAAAACGGAGTTTAGGAATGTTGCGCACACGTGCAAAATGAAAGATTTTACCAGCAGGCTTTTTCCAGAAGATCTTGAAAGTTGACAAGTGTGAAACGCCGGCAAGGTGCATTTCAACAGGTGCGAGGTTGCTAGACGTGGGAGGAGACAGAGACTGGAGAAGAGGAGCCGGTTCAAAGGTCAACAACGTCGGTAAACATGAATTCACGAATGCGCGGTGAAGAACGGTGAATCGCACGTGTAGAAAAAACATTTACTGCTCACAGACCACTACGTTGCTATCCACAGAACATCAGGGCGACTCCCGCAGAACCTTTTTGGCTCCTGGTCAGACCAGGGCTATGGTAGCTTCTCAAACTTCTAAAATCATCCCTACCAACCCTGCTCAATCTATCTATATCATCCATCTAATTCGTCTCTTTACCTAGTTCCTGCAGTCTGGCGGCGAGGATATTTACTATATTGAATACAAAATAAAATGAGGAAAGCACCCAATCATTTCTGTTTTGACATGAAAAACAGTAGTAGACATTTGTTCAAAGTGTTGTGGTGGGGGGTATTTGCGGAAAGGGCTAAAATTTATTAAAAAGATCTGCGAAATTCCTGAAATTTCCCTTAAAATTTCCTCTTCACACCTCTACTCCCAAAAGTGAAACGCCTAGCGCCAGCCCCAAAGGCAATTTCAGCGAGTAAAGAAAGACTACCACGTCAAGTGTTCCCCCACTGACTCTGGACCAGACCGTTTCCATACGAAGCAACCATCAAGAACCCTCCTGTTTGACTTTGTTTCCTGGGAAGAGGGAGAACCTGTCATAAAGCTTGCACCAGAGAGAATACCTGGAAAAAGGCACTCCAATCGAAACAGACAGAGCGGTCTTAATTATCCACTTAGCCTTTCGAAATCATAGCGCGGATGGGCGAAAAGAAGTGATGTCTAGGGAAGCTAAAAACACAATGTGTTCAACAGAAATGAACGGGAAGCAGCGCAAGAGTGGCTGAACATGCTATTCACATTAAATAAAAACAACGTGGCAAAAATCAACAAAAAAGACCCTGAGAAAGTTGAACTTTTAAGAAAAACTTTCGCAGAAATTTTTTGTTTTCGCCACTACACCACTTCTGCACCATGTGCACAAACTGCTATGCTCTAGTTTACTTTTTAAAAAATCGTATGATTCACAAACGGTAGCGCCACGAGCAATTCAATAACATCGTAGCGCATATTCCATACCAACACCGAGCTGCGTATGAATGGGTACGAATTCATGATGGCTCAGAATTTTTGAAAAATACCGACCTATTTTAAGTACGAAGTGGCCATTTTCAGCAAATGTTTAGAAACCTGAACTCAGGATCAAGTTTCAAGAGCAAACTTCTTTTTTGTGTTTCGGTTACTTTTTTGGCACTTCTAGATTGTATGGATCAACAATAATTTTGCCAACATCTGTAGTGTTTGCCCAAACGATGCTCAAGTGTTTGTTCGATAGCGATCTTTTGTACTAGTTTGATGGGAACTAAACGACTGGCCTAATGTTTACTTTGATTGTTGGAAAAAACAGTTTCATGATGTATTAAAACAGCAGAACAAACATTTTTGGACGTTAATATGTAGGTGATTTCTAAAGAAATATCATTACATTCTTAATGATATTTCGCTTGGAATCACCCTAATTGTGAGTGCTTATTCAGTTTCAAAGATGCCCATATGAGGACTTCAAAGGTGGAGTTCATGATGAAAAGGCAGCCCATTAGAATAAAATTATTGATTTTGTATATCATTAAACTGTTCTGTTTGTAAGACCAAAATTGCTTTTGCTTTTGTTTTTCGATCTCAATATTGCTTCATGTACTTTTTTTCAAAATTTATCTAGGGGGTGGGATTCAAAGAATAGTTTAGTTTCCGTGGAGCAGGGGTGACGAAAACTTCGAAAAACCTCCCAGAACCCGAGAATCAGTACTCCTTCTTTGATTTCCGCATTGATGCAACTCTCACTGGTGCTGTACTCTTCAACGCAACCACTCCTTATCTCTTGCTAGACGGCAGAATTAGACGGAGAGTGTGGGCGGGCAGCGGCGCGAGTGGCCCGGATAAGGCCCCGATAGGCCACTGGGAACATATCCTCGCTGCAAGACGTGCATCGCCCCGCACCTTTGAGAGCCTTTTTATAGGTGTAATTCACCTTCTCCAGACCTGGGATCTTATCGTGGCCTCATTATCCTCATTTAACCCAATGCGAACCACGACCGCGCCAAACATGTACAGCACGCACCGGGAGACGTTTAGTTCTCCACCTAAGTCAGGTCACCAGAAAGGCGCATTCATTGAAGCCTAAGGATTGCGGGTCTTCTTCCCAGAAGCAAAGAATGGTTTCTAATTTTAGGTGGCCTGACTTGAGCGGGAGAACTGAAACACGCCCCATGTAAGAGCACGAAGAAGGTTCTTATTTTTGACTTACTTTCTGCCTGCCTAGGCATAAAATGCATCAATAGGCTTATCCGAGCGCAGAAACCATCTTATGACATTGCTCCTGGATTTTTCCAATGACTAGTTTCTTTTTTTTGATTTCCTCTAGTCATCCCCCCTCCCCTCCTACGCCGACTGTGGGCCTTGATGGTGTTGACGGACCTACTACGATGGTATCCGGAGCCGCTTGATGTCTGGCGTGACTTGCAGTGTTGGCGGGCCACTGCTCTTCACCATCAAGTTCCCACTCCCCCGCTGGAAAGTTCCTGCCTCTCTCCATCATTATAGTGAGCAATATTAGCGCTGAATTGATTCTTTTTGTTTGTTTCCTTTATTGTATCGGACATTTGCACTAAATAAGTTAATGTACTGTTATTTCTTCGTTACCGATAATAATAATAATAATAATAATAATAATAATAATAATAAATATAATAATAATAATAATAATAATAATAATAATAATAATAATAATAATAATAATAATAATTAATAATAATAATAATTATAATAATATATAATAATAATAAGGGCGGAAGTGGTGTAGTGGCAAGTGGCACGCTTACCACGCGAGCGGTCCGGGGATCAAATCCTGGGTCGTGAGTCGCCCGGGCCAACCAAGCCTTCCATCCCTCCGGGGTCGGTTAATTGGTACCAGACTTGTCTGGGAGGATAAAAACACTGACTTGTACATCGGCTGGCCCCCGCAAGTCATTGTATAGGCCACATCGCATTCAAACGCCACTACGAATGTACAAATGGAAGTAGAATGCGTGCCGCATCCCAAAAAGGGATTGATCAACGGCAAATGCTTTATCCTTTTATCCTTTAATAATAATAAATCATCATATATTTGTATACGATAAAGTCACCGCTACATTGCTAGTTATTGCTGAAACGGATGACAAAAGCCTTCTGGGGCGCATACACAATGGCGATCTGCAACAGGCTAAGAGCTCATCTACAAATGTATTGCTGTACACCATCAATGCGAAAATCGAGCTGAAAAGAATACCACAGTGCGTAATAGAAGAGGTGTGTTGTAGGACGACAGCGTTGGTTCGAAGGTAAGACGCATGTAGCGCAGATGCACACAACAGATAGACATGTGGCTGGAGACGCAAGAAAAAAGGTATGGAACGAGCACATGAGTGCAGCCATGGACTTTTTCACAAGCCAGATGAAGCTATGCAACGACGACAGCGACTGCATGAACATGCCCTAGGAAGCAGAAAGAGCATTCGACAAGAAATGCGCCAGGTTTTGAAGATTCGGAGAACGTCCATGAGCAGCAATATCATTAGGAAACACTTCAGTGAGCAAATTCACGTCACAGCAGGAGCCTCTTAAGGTGAATGAGTGAAAGGAAATGAGGTTTTCGGAGTCATTGTGATGTCCGAAGGCTAAAAAAGAGAAAAAATGAATAAAAAATTTCTAGAAAGAACGCTCCACCTTTCCCAATTCCATGAATCGGATGTTCCTACTATACAACCCAGGGCCCATGGTATGGGAATATATGGACGGCGTAACACAATATCTCGTTGCATAAGTCTGATCCTTGAACAACAAAGCTTAATAGGATGCACGAAAACAATTTCGTTAGTAGTGAATCAGTAGCACCAAGTAATTCATATTATAGGTGTAAAATAGATATCGATCAACTGCAATCTAATGATCTCTTGAAGAGATCAAAACACAATGCGATTTTCAATTTGAGAGCAACAACGATTGCAGCCGTGGAATACCAAAAAGCATTACTGCACCAAAGCTCACGGCAATCTCACTATCGAAAGAATTTTGAGGAAAGCAGGCATCTGCCAGGAAAGGTTGCACGTGCTAGCTAAAGGTCGTATATATGAGTGTTGTACTTTGCAAGAAATTGATGAGTGCGCAAGACAGCTGTGGTTCTGAATGGAATTTGATGGCATGGCGCATCCCAGAAACTCCTGAAGACGACTGCTTTGTCAGCTTCATAATGGCTAACTTTTGGTTAAAAAGTTTTCCTCGAGAGCGGAAGATGTAGAGTTAAGGAGACAGAGTGAATTCAAATGGTGATGAGGTTAAGGTCATGCTCTACCGAGGCGAAGCCGCAACCTATGCACCAATGCTTAAAATCCGCTGCATAGCCCATAGTCGCACTTAGCCTCGAATTTCCAAGTGGCCAAGGAGTTGCGATTTTCGTTTCGATTCGATGAGTTGAAATTTTCGCGAACAGGGTTACTCATGAACTTTTATAGTCGTACTTTCTATTAATATTGTAGGCATCAGTATAAACTTTATAACTGCGTATGTATGAATATGAGCTTAAATTTACAAGACAGGAACCGAATCAAAATCTATTTGAGAAAAAGCAAATAAAGGTACGGGACTGGATTAGGTCGCCAAAAATTCGATGAAATATTACAAATTTTATGAGGCTAGTATCAAGCTTGTTCAATTCACTCAAGACCGTGCTTATTGAAAGAATTTTAACTGAGGGTTCACGCTTGGCACACCCTACGGGGCCGAGGATTAATGTTCATCTCCCGGAAATCATTAGCACGTGTTCGGCATGCATGTATGCATGTATGCGTCCGAATATTAATGAAGTTGGTGGCGTTCGGGCCACCGTAGATCCTGCTCGCGACAAAATTAATCACTGATACCTTAGTGCGCACGCAACTCTTACATGTCCACATATATTATTATTGGGCAAAAAACTATCTCATACGTTTGCTGATTCGCT